CCCCACCCCAACATACCAGTTCCCACTCACTGAGACCACCCTATTGCTGAGCCTCTGTCCCTCCCCGTGGCCTCTCTTTCTAGGCCAAACAGAAACCTTGTGTCTCTTTTCAGGGTCCTGTCTTCCCCAGAAGACCCAGCTGCCTTCCTTCCTCCCACTCCAGGGAACGGTCCTCTCACCTGTGACCAGGAGCCTTTGCCATGGGATGCACCCAGTGCGCAGAGGGGCTGAGGGGGCCTCCATGGCCTCTGCTGCCTGCTCTGTCCTCCCTCTGTGGGAAGAGCTTTGGCACCTGCACTGCCCTCAAGCCCTGCTGCTCTGGTGCCAGCTCTGCCGTCCTTCCTCCCTCTAAGCTAAGCCTCCTCCCAGGCAGGAACACCTCCCCGAATCACATGGGTGGGGGAAAGAGTATGTCAGGGACACCTCTGTGTCCTTCTAGTCTCTGCCGTCTTCTTTTTCCTCTTTATGTTTCACTGTTTTACTACCTCTGACCATCGCATGGTGAGCAGCCAGGCTGATGGAGAACCTCAGATTCCTGAGAGGATGACAGCTTGCCCCACCACTGACCTCTGTGGCATCCTTACCTTGGGGCTGTCAGCACCACACACAAAGGCCCCTGGGTTCCCAATTTTAATTGACATGGCAGAAATCTGGGTGCCCAGATCTTCTTCACATTCAGAACGACTCTAGGAAAGTGGGACTTACTTTCACAAGGAGGTGACAAGAAATGGCTGTGAGGCTAGAAAGGGGCCACCTGAGTAGATCCAGATATGGGTCTATTTTTAGACTCTTTATTCCATTGACCTTTTTTACACCAAGTTATTTATTTTTATGAAGGAGAAAAAAGAACCCATTATGATAGCGAAAATATATATATATATTATTTTTTTTTTTTGAGACAAGGTCTCCTTGTAGCCCCAGCTGTCCTGGAACTCACTATGTAGACCAGGCTGGCCTCAAACTCACAAAGATCCGCCTGCCTCTGCCTCCCAAGTACTGGGATTAAAGGTGTGTGCCACCACGCCTGGTGAAAATATATTTTTTAATACAATAGCTGCGAACAATATATTGGTGCTGATGTTCCAGCGAGAAAAAAGAAAACACAAGCATTCTATAATGAGCTTTTGGTCCTATCCAAGAAATTCTATTTCTTTTAAAAACCCACTTAAGGGGCTGGAGAGATGGCTCAGCAGTTAAGAACACTAGTTGTTCTTGCAGAAGACCCAGGTTCAAATCCCAGCACCCCCATGGCAGCTAACAACTGTCCGTAACTCCAGTTCCAGGGGATCTGACAGCCTCTTCTGTCCTCTGTGGGCATTGCACGACACGGGTGCATTTACATACATGCAGGCAATACACGCATACACATAAAATAAAAATAATAAATAAAATATTTTTTAAATACTCCAATTCTGTTCAACATTATGGCTTGGGACTTTAATCTTTTCCATGATAAAAATATAATTTCAGTTGCCCTAACCTTGATAATTGTAAAGGATGAAATTTTTAAAGGTTACCAAAAGTTAAAATAACGCCTGCCTCCCTCCTTCTCTTTGAACTGTTATTGCTAATGTAAGAAATTGGTGAATCAATTACCTTGATGAGATGTATATCAAAATCTCCATGATTATACTTTGTAGACATTTCTTAAGTGGGTTTTAAAAAATATTTATTGTTTTTATTTTATGTGTATGAGTGTTATGCCTGCATGTAGGTAAGTGCCCCTGTGTCACGCAATGCTGGCAGAGGTCAGAAGAGGCCGTCAGATCTCCTGGAACTGGATTTACGGACAGTTGTTAGCTGCCATGTGGGTGCTGGGATCCGAACCTGGGTCTTTGCAAGAATAGTCAGTGTTCTTAACCGCTGAGCCATCTCTCCAGCCCCTTAAGTGGGTTTTTAAAATACACAGAAATAAATGCTATCTACATACAACTCTGGAAAGACTCCTAACTCAGCAGAAGTCTGAAAGCCTAAATTCTATAGCTGATCCACCTAGCTTAAACATCAGTGTCACAATCTCTTAATTGTATGCAAATTGCTCAAGGGTTTAGAGCTGTGAAAGCTAATGTTTCTGAGAAATAAAGTCTTATCTGATTTCTTCGAAAATCTGTTATCTACATAAAAAGGAAGTTATATTAACTAGAACAAGTAAGGACTTTCCCACTCTTTAACAGTTTCTCAGTATCCTTGGGAAACAGCGAGGCACTCTATTTAGAATCTAGTCTCATCAATAAAGCATAACAAAAGGAGATTGAATGCAGAAGAATGATTCACTAGTGTCAGACATGCGATCAGATGATTTCTGGATGTCAACCCATACACTACTTCCACTGCACGGGAACTTTTACATCTCAAGACTTGAGATTTTAAGCCATGATCTTTCCACACAAACAGAAGGGTGGGGGCTTGCTGTGGGATCTTCCTCTTTACAGCTTCAGTCCATCTGTCAGTCTCAAGCTTATCTGATTAACTTCCTTAATAGAAACCTAAAATTCTGCCTTTGCCAAAACTGTTGAGAGGCTCCCCTTCCTTGGACATCCAGAGACAGCCAAGTACAACCCCTAGGCAAATAAATCATGGAGCACAGACGCCCCAAGTGTGGGCATCTCGGAGCTCCTGCACAGCTCTTCACCACTCTCCACGTGTCCTCTGGTGTGAGGAACGCAGCTCTTCCAGGAGCCCTCGACTCTCTGTGTCTCAACTATTTTCCAAAAGAACAGGTGCTCTGTCTCTGGAATCTTCCTCATGGTTTTAGTTATGAGATGAGATGCAATCTCACCCAAGGACAAGCTGCTACTAGTTAAGGCTGGTACACTCCCACCCATCGAAGCCAGGAGGTGTCATTTCTCAATGGAGAAGGTATAGTGTTTCTTTCTGGAACCAGATATATCACCATCCAGTGTTTACACAGTGATGGCTGTCACACCTCTGACCAGCAATAAAGTCCAACTAGGTAGGGCCAAGGGTATAACATGAAGCCTTTCTTTTTTAAAAATTTTATTTATTTTTATTTTATGTGTATGCGTGTGTTGCCTGCATGTATGTGAATGCACCCGTGTCATACAATGCCTTGGAGGTCAGAAGAGGGCTTCAGATTCCCCTGGAACTGGAGTTAAAGACGGTTCATAGCTGCCATGTGGGTGCTGGGAATCAAACCTGGGACCTCTTCAAGAACCACTGAGCCATTTCTCCAGCCCCATGGAGCCTTTCTTATCTTTCCATACTAAGCTAATTATGGGTACCTTTTAAAAAGGAAGCTGCTTACAAAAGTCAGACTGTTTCCATAAGCCAGTGCTTATTAAATGTTAGCATATCGAAGGGGGGAAGCATTGCCATCCTAAAGTAATATACTTTGGGGGCGGGGAGCTATGAGAAATAGCCCTTTTAGAACAAGTTAGGTATAAAAATTACCGGAAAATGTAGTATAATCACAACCAGTCTTCAGACTACTACTAAGAACGTCCATGTTGTTTAAGGGATAAATACATAGTAAACTACTTTTATCAAGTTTGTTCTCCTTTGTTTGAGCAAACAGTCATTTTCAGTTTAGGATTTCGATTTTAAAAATGAGAAAATAAGCCCGGTACGGTGGCACACGCCTTTAATCCCAGCACTTGGGAGGCAGAGGCAGGCAGATCTTTGTGAGTTTGAGGCCAGCTGGGTCTACATAGTGAGTTCCAGGGAATTCCAATGGATGACACCACACACACACACGAGAGAGAGAGAGAGAGAGAGAGAGAGAGAGAGAGAGAGAGAGAGAGAGAGAAAACAAACCCAATATGGTGGCACTGAGGAGGCACATGCAAGACATCGTCACAAGTTCAAGGCCAACCTGGTCTATAAAGCGAGTTCCAGGCCAGCCAGGGCTACAAAGTAAGACCATGTCTCAAGAAAACAAAACAAAAAAGAAAACATATAGAGTGCTATTCTTCAATGTGGCTTCAGGAAAATTAACTCAAAGGAAGTACAGTGGTTAAGATGATTCAAAACTGTGATAAACATGCTGTGACAACTACAATGTGGTCCCAAAGAGGTGATCTCCTCTGCAGTCTAGTGTAGATGGGGGAGGGATGAGAGGGACCTGAACCATGCTTTAGGGTGTTTAGTATGGGATGGACGACATGTTCTTCAGATCACCCCCACAGAATATGCTTGGCAGTGTGCTTAACATTTTAATAAGCTCATCCCGCATTCCTTGAGTTAACCTCTACAGTAGCTTTTACATTTCTAATCACTGGACTCCTACGGCTGAGTATCAGTTTACCTAGTGTTGCTCAAAGATCTATGGTTACCTTGAGAGGAGCCTTTTACACTGAAGGCAGGGCCAGGTGCAGTCCAGGGGTAGAGGGTTTGCCTGGTGTGCCCAAGTCCTGGGTTCCATCCCAAGCACCACTGGAATGAGTGAGTGAATGAATGAATGAATGAATGACGAGAAAGAAAAGGGGGAGATGCAGGGAAAGGAAAGGAAGAAAGAAAAAACCAAGAAAAGAAGAAGAAAATACATATTAAAATGGAGGCAGCGATAAAGTTCCACATGAATGGCAATGGGAAAACGCACACACCAGACAACACAGAGAACCGGCTCCCACTGGCTTCTCTTGTAAGGGTAAATGCTTGTGAGACTGCTGTTCTGACCCTTGCTTTAAACTTTTGGTTTCTAAGTCATGGCAGATGTTAGCGTTTGTATAGAGGACACATGATTTTAGGTAAAATTAAATCTATCTGACACGGTGGTAAGGCTCCAGCTTGTGGTGGAGTGCCTCCGAATCAAAAGAGAGGAGATGGGCAGGGGAGGTGAGCTGGGTGAAAGGACTTTGAAATAATACTGCTTGGGAGTATGTACTTGAAGATAACTACATACCTTGTCTAGCCTCAACCCTAACTGCATGTTCACGCAGAACACACTTCCGCTGTAGAGGATGCAGAGCAGTCTGTTAGGAAAGCATATTCTTAGGGGAAATCTGAAGGCATCTCTCTTCAAAGTGCTGTTTACTTGGTAAGACTCTTGATATGGCTGTCTGCAGTTTCCACTTCCTTGTCACAGGGACAGATGTTTGTGAACTCCTCCCTACTGTAGGCGTTAGTCAGGTATCTCCAGATGCCAGTCATGCCTTTTGGAATATCGAAGTTACCATATTTTTTGGCCACCACCTTGACGGTGTGCATCTTGGGCAGCAGCTAGTGTCATTTCATTACCATCCAGAAATTTGCCTGTGGAAAACTTGATGTCCTCCATACTATTC